TCCATTGATTTCTCTGGCGTAACCAGTTCCCAATTCCCGTTGCACAACCGCCCATGAAGGTCCATGGTCCAAGGGAAAAAGCGTACTGTACGTGTTTTCGGCGCGTTGCGTGCGGGTGCGCGGAATAGCAACCAGTTTTTTAGTTGCGCAGGCCTACTTTCGTAATTGCGCGACGCGTCTATCCCACGCGTTGCGGTCTTTCCTAGTTTCCAATTCTACCGGACGTTTTATTAGGAGCCAGGCCGCTGTGGTTGCGGCAGAGGAGCGACAAATGCAAGCGAACGATTCGGATTCTGGGGAGTCCGGATTCGGTGATGGTGGTGATGGAGGCCAACAACTGGGTGACGTCGATGGTATCCAAGCATTACGGCGACAATTGAGGGCCGAACAGGTCAGCCGCCTCAAATCGTTTATCGTGGCGACCAGGGTTGGTCACAATGATCGGGGATCCGCGTCCGTCCGCGTCCGGACGCGGACGCAGCGGACGCTACAGCGTCCGCCGGACGCCGGAAGGTCCGCGATGCAAAGCACAAAAGCGGATGCTAATTACAGGTGTCCCTGGTTTAGGAAAGCGTAGGATCATAATCCGACTTGCATCCTTGACGTTGACTTAGAATAAAACACAAAAATCACTGTCACCGTCCAAGGGAAAGCGCTAAAAAGTTTGAGCAAACGAAAATCTTTGAGATTTTAGTGCAATGTTCCATTGTTCTTGAGGTTTAGTACTAGTTTCTTCGTCTCCGACTTGCTTTTGTGTGACTATTTGGACAACTGAGAATTATTTTTTGTCATGATCCAAGTCAACACGAATATTCAAATTAGGTCTGTGGTAATGTCCCTTCCTAAGCCGCAGACTATTGAATTAACATGGTGATCTGCAATTTGCATCGCGGACCTTCCGGCGTCCGGCGGACGCTGTAGCGTCCGCTGCGTCCGCGTCCGTCCGCGTCCGCAATTTGCATACGGGTCCGGACGCGTCCGTCCGCGGACGGACGCGGATGGACTTTCGATCATCATGACCAACCCTGGTGGCGACGCCACTTGTAAAGGGGCGCGGCGTCGGTTTGCCACAGGTTGGCAATTTGCCAGCTGTGTTGAGCCCCTTCCGAAAAAGGGCATCAACAGTTACTTTCCGCTCCCCTTGAAGAGAATTAACATTCTTGATCCGTTGCGCAAAGAAAGCGCATGCACGCGCTGCAGCCCGCGAACACGTTAAAACATATGGCAAAACCCGCAGCCGACAAAATCTGTCAGTCTTTTAAACAACGAACCTCATATTCAGGCTCGCAACGCGCTTCTCGCTTGGGAAAATGGAAGGCATAGAAGGGCCACAAATCCGGAATCTCGCGAGTTAATGGTATGTGGTTTTCAAAAAATTTTTTGATGATGATAGGAACCGCGCAATCTCTTTCAAAGTATTCTCAAAGATAGTCAAAACGGTGCTTCAAAAACTTTTTTATTCGACATTCGCACATAGTTTTAGTTCTTGTGTACATATTCCGGGGGGGGAGAGGAGGAGAATTCGCGGGGAATTCGCGGGGGAATTTTAATTAAATTTTGTAAAGTTTTTATGCTTAGGCATAGCTATAAACAATTTTGAAACACTTCCACTATTTATCTAAAAAACATAGGCTTAGGCCGAAAAAACTTCGGTCCCCCCGCGAATTCTGTCCCCCCTCCCCCCGGCAATACACAAGGGCCATAGTTTTAGTCTGCGTGGCAATGTGAACAGTTTTAACCCGATCTGATCTAAAACTTTATTTAGTGTACATGTGAATACAGGCAAGGATATTGGTCGGAAGGGCATCCTATCGAAGAGATGGCACATGCATTCCTCTTCATCGCTCTCCTCTCCGGCATCTTTGGCACAGCGCATCTTTGGATGCCCCAAACAATTTCGGTGATTTTAATACTTCTCTGATATTCCCAAAAATTTTTAATATACAGGTTGTCCCAAAAACATCCCCCTCTAACCGGCCGCAGCCGCGTCCGATTTTTACGATTTAGGTAACCATCGAAAGCACTCGAAAAGCCAAGTCCAGCACGTCGCTCCGCTTTCCAAAACTCGGAATTTTTTGCTCGATTTTTGGCATTTTTCATGCAAAAGGACACGATTTTTTGTCAAAAACTCAATTTAACTGGTTTAAGCGCTATCCAAATCTTTCAAAAAAGCTGTCGTTAAGCTGCCAGTAAAGGCTTCAAAATCCCTAATTATGATTTTTGTGAAAAAACCTTTGGTCAGAAAAACATCAGAAAACCTGCGTGCTTCGTAAAAATAGTAGTAATTGTTAGAAAATTGTAATTTTGGAAATCAGAAAAACGTGCCGGACTCGCCTGTACGAGGGCTTTCGATAGATACCAAAATCGTAAAAATCGGACACGACTGCGGCCGGCTAGAGGGGGGGTGATTTTTCTTGGGACGCCCTGTAGGTTACCCCGACCCAGGGGTAACCTAGATTACTATATTTTTTCACATCCACCTGCCGCGTCCCTTTTAAAAGCTCAAAAATTTCTTGCAGTCGGTAGCTTTCAGTGTACACCGCTACGGAGTATCTTCACGTACTACCTCCATCTTACCGTCTGGTCCCTCGTTCTGCTCGGCAAGTCTCGTCTCTCCTATTTTAGTTTCATTGCCAGGAATTGCCTATCGTAGTTGCTGCCCGTTGGAGAGGACTCGTCTGTGGGCAGCCATTTCCCTCCAAAAGCGATACCTTCGACCCACATGCCAAATTATTCTGTTCTTTACGAGCGCGATTGCCGCTACTCTCGCTTTGATCCTTTTTGCGATCACCCGGCAAATGCCGCTCTACTGAAGCCGGTTTCCGGTCATAGCTCCTAATTCCATTGTGTTTTGGAATACCCATTCCCGCGCCGTTAATCCACACGCCCGAAAAATATCTGCTCTCATCGATTCTCGATCCTCTATTCTTATCGATGGCAGGCTAGCAAAGATTCCTTGCCCACCTCGTCCATATTTTGTGCACAAACAATAAACAATTCTTTATTTGCCAGTTTAGTGGCTTGGAAACCCGGGGAATTTCCTGTAAAGCAACCACCCTCGAAATATGTACAGCGAATATCGAAGGTCGCGTCCTCACATTGGCTGTCACATGTAGTAATTAAACTCAGTTTCTATGCTCATCAGGTCAATTGTTATTATAGTTATCGGCATCTAGCATGAAATGGGGCGGCCCGATGGCTCCGGTGAGGATGCTGGCCATCGTCGGTCGAGGTCCACATCCTGGCAGCGGCTCCTTATAGAGCTCGTCAGGAGTGATCTTTAATAGGGTATTTGGGACGGTTCCAATTTCCTCCCGAAATCCAGAAGGTCTGATCGATAAGCGATACAACGAGAGAGAGAGAGAGGGGGTGGGGGAAAGGGAGAGGGAGGGATAGAGAGATAGATAGAGGGGCGATAGAGAGAGAATGATAGAGAGAGCGAGAGAGACGAGACAGAGAGAGGGGCAGAGAGAGCGAGAGAGATAGAGAGATACCTCTTCTGTTACGTGCTCTCTCGCGATTATCGATTGGACCGCGCCGAACTACGCGTCGTTCCAATATACGCTAATTCGGCAAGGCATACCGTATTTACTACAACATTCCGAAAATGTACGTTTAACAAGCCGAGAGAGAGAGAGAGAGAGAGAGAGAGAGAGAGAGAGAGAGAAAGAGAGAAAGCGAATCAGAGAGCGCCAGAGAGACATGAGCAGTTTTTAGTTATGAGAATCCCCGAAATACGGGTACTTACATAATTGCAAAGATGGCTGCCACAACAGCAACCCTGCACGATATGGTGTGGACCGCTGGTCGTCTGTGCGCACGGCTCTCCCGTTAACACCTGATTATTCGAAGCTAATCGGAAAACCGAGTTGCTACACAGCGGCCCGGTCCCTAATAAAACGTCCAGTATGTTTTGAAACGCGGAAAGTCCGCAGCGCGTGCGCGTCGTCAGATCCGTCACGCGTCGCGCAATTACAGAAGAAGGCTTGCCCCGCCCTGCCCGGCTAAACGCTGGTTGCCATTTCGCGCGCACAGCCGTAACGCGCGTACAGTACGCCTTTCCCATGGACCGGACTGACGTTAATCACGTTACAAAAACAATTAAGTAATACATAAACTAACCCGCAGAATCCCGCACCCAATGCCCGCACATCCCAGCGATTTTGCCGTGTAGGTTTGGGTGCAGGTGTCATAGATGGTAGCTTTGTAGCAACCGAACCAACATGACGTGGCGTCCATATTCGAGTCGTAGCAGTAGACCTCGTGGCTCGGCCGCACTTGCATTAAAACGAACCTAAAACCAACAATACCAAACTGCATAGTAGCGTGCTCTTGTTAACGACCTTGGGTATTTTTAGATGCCTGGCTTAGAGGTTCGAGGTTAGAGGGGAAGTTAATGAGTAGATACCTCGACTTTACGCAACTTGCGCAAACTTACAAAGCAATCCCCACGCTCCACATGACGTCTAAATTCGTAGGCGCCTCGAGAAGAACCAAAACAGTACTCAAAAGACGAACCGCTCGGACTGGCCGTGGCTTATCAGCCTTACCCCGTGAAGCTTTGCCGCTTTTTTTTATGCGACCCTCTTTCACGAATTGTATGGCGCTAGAAAACACATTTAAGCTGTTTGCACACAAAAGAGTTACTAAGAAAAATGTGCATAGTTTTTATTCGTTTTATGTGCTCATTTGATTGCGAGGCACATGGTACTGTTTGGGAAGACGCCAAAATCCCGACAACCAAAATTCCGACAGCCAGAATCCGGACAGCCAGAATTGATCAATCATCAATTTATCCAGAAAATCCCGTTTTAGCAAGAAATAATTTTCAAATTGGGGGTTCTAACTGTCCAGCCTATGGCTGTCGGGATTTTGGCATGTCGGGATTATGGCTGTCGGGATTATGCATGGAGTTCGGTACTATTTTCCCCTCCCAAGAGGATCAGTAGAACGTCTTTATTTCTCTTGCTACACAGCCTTGCAGCGACCCGTTTTTATCACAAATATATGGCGATCAAATCTACAAAAGAAAGTGCGTGGGAATCTTTGTCGTAGTGGACAGGGAATTCAGAAGACTTTGGATATCGTTCCGAAATCGTCAATTGACATACAAAAATTTCGGCGGAAAGAAAACGCCGAGGGTGACCGAGAGCAGATTCGGCTTTTCACAATGCTGCTGCGAGATGCCATCTCTGAAGTGGGCGCTGGCGTCGTTGCATCTGTGGCCCTGACAGCAGCACCACTGCACAATGTATCGATCACCGCTCGTCGTCTGCTTGCAAGATTCGTCCCAGAACAGCTGAAACCGCAAAGATTACGGCATACTGTGGTAAAAATTCGCATGTTTGGGATACCCAACATCAAAATGTTGATAACAGAATGGCATCAAAATTAGCAAATTAGCGCGTTTTCCCAACAAAAAACGCGCAAGTACATGCGGAGGGCGGGTTTCGGCAACAGCTACATATTTTCCAGGAACCAACGCTTCTTGGCCCTATAAGAGTGACCGTATATCAAGTGTACACTACCGTACATTGTAAAAATAGCATGTCGCCCCGGCGCAGCCCTCGTTTCGATAGGCGAGACTCTGGGTGCAGTTGTCGAACGCAGCAATCACTTCACAGCCATGCGCGCAGACCTTCAACCCATTTCCGTCCAAGCAAACCGTCCTTTTCCCGCTGACCCGCTGTAGTGTGAAAAATGCCACCCTAGAAAGCAGATATCTACAGAAATATGCATACTTAATACTTACAACATGATTATATAGCAGCAATTCATAATGTCTAGAGCGTTAGTTCGTATGAGGCGGCGCCAGTTCCAAATGACTTTTCCTATCAGCGAACAACACCTCTGGTACTCGAGTCGCCCCTTATCAGCTGGTTGCGCCGTTGAAACGGGTCAAGACTATATCTAATAATATTCTGGCGACTGAAAAGCAACATTGAGAAAAATAATAAAAATAAAAAGTTGGCAATGATAGCGCGCGCATTGATGAAGACATTTTACGGATTATACGAAGACGTGGCAGTTTTGGCAGAAAATGAGGTGGCGTTCAGACGTTTTATCTGTACCGGAAGGCTGGACTTGGAACCGGCTGCTGTTCTCCGGAGTTTAATGAGCTGTTTTCTCTTCGGCGAGCCAACCAGCCACGTGGTATTTTAAAACTGGTAATCTTCAGCTAGCAAACAAGAATGACTAACTGTAGATGAATGGGCCGATGAGCCAGATCGTCGCGAAAAAAAATATGCAATAAGCACTTCCGCTTGTTCAAAAGTTCTGACTAATGGCATTAGTATGATGCATTTAACTGCTAACTTTGATGATTTTTCTTTTTGTGAAGCGTCCAATGATTGATCTGCGATTTTTAATAGCCTTTGAAGCCTTCAAAAACCCGCTTTATATAGAAACAAAACCGGAAATAGCACATCACATGGAAAGATGTTTTATGTACAGTAGAATGGCATGAAAACACGGAACATCAAAAAACGTAAATGTACACACCAGACAAAGTTTAGTTTAGCTGAGACGAAGCTATGCGCTAGGCGTGCGTAAAAACCGGAAACACGCTCAAACTCAAGCGTAGCGGTGACTTCCGTATCTGGGTTATGAAGAGAAACAGTGAGGAGGCCAAAAAACGCCCAGGAGAACGTCGTGCACATCTTCCACAGGGCATCCAGGCATTGGTTGTTTAGACTGATAGTACTTCCCCGGATTGTTGCAGTAATCCCCCACACAGCAACATCCCTGCACCGTGTACCGCTCTCCGCTCGTCGTCTGCCAGCACGGCTCGTTGGAAAGCAACTGGAGGATGAGTTGAAAAGGCGTAAAAAGTGTCATACCCTATACAAGCCACATTTGAACCCTCCACATCCTAGGCTCCGCCACGCAACTGTCTGCGTACAATTATCGAATGCGGTGCCGATGAAGCAGCCACCCGAGCAGGTGACCTCCCCCAAGTCGTCGTCAAGGCATTTTGTCACCCGCGAGTAGCCGAAGAACCAACAGTTGGTTAGCGGTAGGCTGATTGCCAGCCTGGAAAATGACATAGGATAAATAGTAAACAGTTTATAACCGTAACCAATCGATGAAGTAATTTTTTGTGTTCTTCAGATTTTGCCTTTTTGGGCTCATAATTTGAGGGCTTTATCTGAGCAAAGTGATATCACTTTTATCGCCTGCTCCAATAAAGCCGTATCTAAATATACAAATAAGGAAACTTACAAAATTAATATATAGTAGACTGCCATCTATCTTGACCGTAGAAAATTCGTAGCCGCTGGGGCAAAGAAATGATTAGGGTCAGAACAGCCGTGAAGCGAAGTACTGCAGACAAAGCTTATCTATCAGCCTGTCTCCCTGCAAAAGAGCTGGCGCTTGAACGTTAAAAGATATTCTGGCGTCGCAAAAAAATTGAAAATTTTTTAAAATTCAAGAGCATATCATGGTAAGGTGACTTCGACTGACTACGACTGACAAACGACTTATAAATTCTGACAATTCTGGCGCTTCCGAATTAGATTCTGACTGTGGAAGGGAAAAGCACGAAAATCTCTTGCATTAAACAATATAATACGATATGTGTAGAAACAGTACACTTATGATGAGCACATTTTGCACTTTATACAGCAGACAAAAGCCCGGGCTTATTATTGGCTTAGATAGACCAGCTTTTTTCAAAATAACGCCGCAGTGCAGCTTCTTATCTGCAGAAACCCTGGGCTGGAACCGACTTCGTTTTCTGGCGTCATTTTTTTGGAATGTTTGTCGGCGACGGGTCAGGCGAAACCACGTGTCGGTTTTATACAGCAGCTAAGACAAATTTTAGCACACAAAACTGACTATTAAAGTAAGCAAACCGAGCG